GTTAAATGTATTCCTACATGTTTTGCAACGATTGCATGTCTCATCCCAACTTTGTTTATCTCCCCGATCTTCTCTTTTGCTCTCTTTTACACTCTCATTTTCTCTCTTATTCTCATTCTCTTCTGCTTGTTTTCTCTTTTTTTTGGTTTTTCGTTTGTTTTGCTTTTAGGTTTTCTCTTTTCCACATTCCTCTTTTATTTGAGTTAATTACAAAAATCATGACCGAATCCAATGAGGATTGCCTACGTATCACGACGCCGCTGAATCAGATCATCACGTAGTTCAAGGAATAAATGCAACCTAAATAAAACATTTTTGGTTTTTCAAACTTTTTCATTAAAACAAGATTTCTAATTTTATCTATTACAAAGACTCGACCCTACATACTTGAGAATTAAAAACTTAAAACAGACTCGAAACCAACTTTAGGGAAGAAAATACAGACTCGAAAAAGAAAACACAATCAGGAGTACATTAGTGCCTCCAATGCTGTCCTAGGAACACCAACTGGTCTTGTTGCGGGCCTACGCGCCATGTCATCATGGAGGCGATAGAGATCTTTCATTATATGGCGGACAAAGATCATGACTGTGGCGAAGAACATGGACCTGGTCATGTCCTCACACTCGTTGCATTTCATCACAACGTAGTCAGCGATTCTTCTAACACTTTCCGTGCGGATGCCCTTTTCTTGCAACAACCACCCAATCTGCTGAGATCTAGCCTCCAAGACCTGAGTGGTAGTATGATTCTGTTCTTGCAAATGCTGTAGGTTTCCCTCTAGCTATACCATCAAAGTGTAGTAATGTTCTTTCTCGACTTTGAAGCTCTTGGCTTGTTTGGCCATCTCTTTCTCGAGGGTGGTTAGGTTTTTCTTCAAGTTTGTGACTTCTCCATCGTATTTCCTTTTTAGTTGTCGAACAAACTCTACCCGCCCCTCGGCGTTCTTTGCTAACTGTGCTCTAGCTCTTGCCAAACTTCCTTCGGATTTTTCTAGATCATCTCTGTACTCACATATTTTCTTCCTAAGGCCATTAATGAGTTTTCATCTGCTCGACTTCTTTCTGGATTCTCAACAACTATCTTCATCCTTTGGATCTGGGCCCGGAGGACTTCATTTTCTTGGGCTAATTTTTTCTTCTCACCTTGATCTGCAGCGACTTGCACATCACTATCAAACTTGAGGTCTCTGATCTGTCCTTCTAACCTGCTTATGGTGGCCCGATATTCATTTTCTTTTGTCAACCACTCCCACTGTTCTTGTGATGCTTCGACAAACTCTTGGAGATGAGGTCTTATAGCTGGCCTTCCAAACTCAACTTTCCTTTTGTACCAAGCGAGGTAACCGGGTGAGACTTCACCTCTGGATATATCATGCACTCGGGTATTTGCTGTCAGATATTGGCACTGACTCCAAATCTGGCGAACCACTATTTCGTGAAACTGGCCATCAAAATGGATCTCGACCACATGAAGGCTAAGGTCTTCATCCTTGGGAACTATTTGACATCTACCTAGCTGTCTCAAAACCCGGTATGGTGCATAAGGTTGGATACTTCTAAGACCCATAAGGAGGAAGTGGGGACCGGTGGCTGGCATGTATATGATTTCATCAATAGGAAGCCAACCCAACATCCATTCTATTTGATTTGCAGTGGCGGAGCGGAGGCAAGATGTCCATTCTGCGACCCCTTCTGACATATTGAACTCGTTGAACCTTGTATAAAACTCCCCCATGCAGCTTTCTCCTATCGACCCATAGTTCATGTACTGAGGACGATGACATAGATGCTCAATCATCCACATTTGTAGCAACAAGTTGCACCCTTCAAAAAAGTCTACTCCGGCTTTGCAGGCTGTGAGAGCTCAGAATATTTTAGACACTATCATGGGTGCGAGGGTGCTTTTGGCCTGAGTAAGCAAAGTGTTGGCGACCCCGGCGATCCATACATCGATATGCCCATCCTTCCTGGGGAATACTAGAAGACCCAAAAATACCACCATAAAAGCGAAGCACCTGTGTTCTTCCCATTTTAGTCGATTCCCTTTTCTGCAAATTATGCTTTCTGGATTGTTGAACCCCCCCTATGTGTCCGTATTACTGGTATATGAACTATGGAGTGGAAAAACCAACTACCAAATCTGGGTATTAGACCCCCTGCTTATCTTTAGCAAATCTAGAAACTTGTGTGGAGTGACAGCTCTTGGAGTGACCAAATACTTCTGTCTCAGAGCTTCACTGCTCCCAATATAACCTGCTATCTCTTCCAAAGTGGGTATGAGTTCAAAATCGGAGAAATAAAATACGTTGTGAGCTGGATCCCAAAATGTAACTAGTGCCTTTATTATGTCTCCTCTAGGTCTGATCTTCAATAACCCGGTGAGACCCCCTAAGTAAAGGTTGACCATATCTCGTCCTGATTCACCCAGATCTTCCCACCACATATACAGTTCCAAAGGAATCTTGGTCATGACCTTCATTGACAAGTTTTGACTCGTGCTCATTCTGCACATTTAAATTAAGGTGATTGGTTTAAAACAAAGCGAATTTTACAAAAGAGGTCAATTTAGCAAACATTTAAATAACACAGCTACTTTTACAAATACAGCCCTTCAGCACTTTGAAAAGGAAGATTTTAGGGCTGTGCTTGCTAGGTAGCCAAAAATTTGAAAAAAAGCGGTAGGTGATTATTCTTGCAAAAAAGCCTTCCGGCGTCCTTTTAGGGACATTTTGGGGCTATTTAGACAAGAACGACATTACCTAATTTTATTTAAGACAGAATAACAACAATTCATTTTTGGGTTATTTTTTGCAAAAATGGAGTTGGACCCGGAGAGGGTTGTCTACGTATCCCACATCCAGTGAGAATCAAACTTGCGTAGTTCGGTCAGTTTTGACATAATAAAATATTTTGAAACCATTTTCCTTTTTTCTTTTTTTTTTCAAAAATTTGGGCATAGTTTTGGTATACTTCGGACGACAGTTTTTTTTTCACAGGCGGGTAATTATCTCTCTTATACCTCAATTAATTTTTCCCAAATTCATTCCTATTCTAGCAACCGGTCAACATGCAAACCGTGGCAAATAATTTCACAAGTAGCACATAAAATGCATCAGGATGGTCTTTTGATTCTGGGGTCCACCTGTCCTAGACGGACCCAACCCCTGTGTTCAGTCCCCAAAGTCAAATGCACATGATGCAAACAAGCGTTCCTACTAGGGATCCGATATGAGGCTGAGTTATTCTAAGTTTAAAAACCTGGGTATATTGTTCTAGACTTGGTGTACCTGAGCGGACAACTCGAGCTGAGGGGGGCTACGTACCGGGAACCAAAAGGCCATCCGGCTTTGTAAATTGTCTGAGCCTTTTTCTTATTTCAAGGTATGATGCTAACAGAAAGGGGGGTCACGCCAGCGTGCACATCCCCGAAGATGAGAAGAGAAGGGTTTCGTAACAGTTTATATACAGTTCAAATAATATCAAAGCGGTAAAAAGCGATATTTAGCACATTAGGCCCAAACATGTAATAAAAATTAGATAATAAATAAAAGTCAATTATAACAGTTATTCTAAGCTCGGATTCTTGAACCTTGAACCGGAAGTTTTGGGTTTTGTTCCCCAGCGGAGCCGGCAGAGCTGTCACACCTCCTTTTTACACTCGAGGGTATATAAGGGAGTTTTTCCAATTAAAGTGACATTATTCGAAATGGGATTATTTAAATTAATTTATCAGAGTCGCCACTTGGAATAGTTTATTTGGTGTTCCAATTCACCGGTTTATTTTAAAATCCCAAATCGAGGAAATTTCGACTTTATTTTAAAAGCCTGCGAACCAAAAATTCTAAATAAGGAATTCTGTAAACTCGGAAGAAGGTGTTAGGCATTTCCGGGTTCCGTGGTTCTAGCACAGTCACTTAAACTATTAATAATTGGCCTATTATCTGATTTACTACACGTTTTAAACCTATTGAGCATTTTTAAACTTTATAACCGCTTTTAATTAATTATTGTTATATATTGCGAATCATGTCACGGGAACCGTACCCACGATCTACAACATGTTTAATTTTTAAATATTAAATTGTGGCTGGTTCACATAAATGTACCCCCGGATTTTAGTAATTAAGCGTCACGACTACGTCATGGGAACCGTACACGTAGCGATGACAATTATTTAATTAACGCGCCTAAAGCAAACCACAAAAGTTCAAGGCAATTTATATACTAATTTTATATTTATATGAGGGCCATAAATTATAGGATTTTATTTGTGTATGGCACACCTCAAATTATTTTCTAAAAGGATTAACTCTTGATCTAATTTTGTGAGGGCCATGTATTATAAGTTTAAAGCGTGACACACCTCAAATTATTTTAAGAAAAGAGTTATGTATTTTAAAGGCAAGCTAAGGTGCTCCTATTTTAATCTAATTTAAAACTAATTATCACAACCACGTCACGGGAGTCGTACCCATAGTTGTAATAATTTAAGTGCGTGCCTAAAAGCAAACTACGGTTGTTCGTGATTATTTAATCCTTAGGATTTGAGATTTTTTTTGTGAAAGGTCAGATGGTGGTGAAATGTTTTGGTGGACAAAACTCCAACAAACATTTTCATAAATGTAATAAATGCTACAAAAGAAAAATGAGAGAGAATTGGAGTTATACTTTCAGAAGATGGCACAAAAGTCCCAACACAGTAATCTATGCTTCACTATTGAACTCGTGTGCACCCATAAAACCCACAAATCGAATATATCAAATATACGTCAATTAACGGCATATGCAGTGTAATTAAAAGAATGTCCAACTACTAGTGGCCTACAACATGAATCCAATTTATTAAACGCAAGAAAATTTTCAATATTTACATACAAAAATAACTCTCAACGATATTATTCTAGGGCTAGCAAATGAATGAAGGAAAATTGTTTTATTTCATTGTTAAAGAATATCTCTATAGGAGACACGGGAAGATGGAAAAGAAGAAGCTAAAGCTGAAGGAAAGCATTAGAAACAAAATTCTCATTAACGGACTTGGATTTAATAGTTCAAGAGAAGGACACGAGTGAAATGCACAGAGTATTATTCGCAAGATTTGGACATGTCATGTCCTTCCCCACGACGCAATACAAAGAAACCCAACGGTCTCACATTCCACAATACAACAAATTAAAAGGGTTAATTATAGAACAATACACATGGCTATTACTCTTCAATTTAATGACATAACCAACATTTCCAGTTAAAGAAAATATCAATTGCAAGACAGTGGTGTTCTGTCCATACTAGCTACTTTCTCAAGCTGGCTCATAGTTACAACAGATCCAAAGCAATTATCATCAAATCACAAAGCTGCATCATGTGAAACTAATTAAAATCATAGTTAGAACATCCCAACACTTTTGCTAAATTCTGAAAATTTCACATGCTTTCACCCAATTTCCATCTTGTAAAACCACATTACTCAATGAGAGATACAAAATAGAATCAAAAAATCATTCTTTTCAAACATAACAAATGCAGTAGACTTGGATGTTGATTCATATTTCGTTTCAAAAAAAAGAGATAATCGAACAAGACTTAGCATGATGAGTATCAACCAATTTGGTAGGTGTAAACATTTTTTAACTCTTGAATACTACAGTTATGATTGAACACGACTCCAATGAGTTCAAGCGACCAAATAATACATGTTAGCTCAATTTACTGTCCTTAAATGGAACAAACAAATGCAGTTTAGTTAAAACTTACTCTGGACTAACCATATGTCAAATGTGTTCTATGAGTGACATCTAATAGAGATTTGCAGAACCAGATAACCAGGCGCATTCAAATTATCGTAAAAATGCAGAAGTGAAGAAATGGGAATCAAACTAAACACAAAGCAAATCCGTATAATAAGCCCTCAAATGTTTATTCATAGTCGAATAAGAAGACAATAGGAATAAGAAGACATACCTAAAATAAATCCAGAACAGCCGTAGATGGCTAATTAAAATCTAAGATGAAGAAACGAAGCTCAGCAAATCAACCAACCAAATCCAAATCGCAACCAAAAATTCGGACGAAAATCCATAGTGCCCAACATTCCAAACCCCAGCCACAAACCTCTAACTCGAACTTCAATCCAAAACCATTCTAAAAAAACCAGAGAACGAAGAGAAAAATGCTGAGATTTGTAACTCTTTTGATTTCTTTCTAAAGAAAGTAAAACTTGTATCGGCAAACAAACTCAGACTACACTTTGTGTGTATATATATATTGTTTTGTTTTCTAAAAATGCCGACTGGAAAAGAAAAGGGCTGAAGAGAAGAAAACTTCAAAACCCTAGAAATTTCACTACTAAATTATCTAAAGATTTTCTCCGATTTTTTCTTCACCTAGAAAAAGAAAACATACCTTATATATATATATATCCCTCAAAAAATCTCGAAGCTTCTGCCCAAATATCCAAAAATCCTCACGTTTTTGAATGATTTTTGGGACAAATGGAAGGCATGGATCGATTTACATCCATCCACGCCTCCTATTCATCCAGCAAATCGTTCTTTCTTACAGAAATCGTGCAATTTTTGGAGAGAATATTCTTTCTTCTCTGACAAAAAAATCGTTGGAATAAAGTGATGTAGAGGGGAGGCGAGTTGAGGCTTGGCTCAGCGAGGAAGATGAACAGTGTAAGGGTGGGGCGCCGTTTCTGTGTTAGGTTTAGAGTTTGGAATTGGGGAGGAAATGTATAAGGATGTTAATATATTAAAGGCAACGGGCGGGTCAGGTCCATTTTTCTTGGACTGGGGCGGTAAAGTATTTGGGCTGGGTGGTTTGGACCGAATAGGGTATTAACATAGCCCAAACTCAAACTAAAACCCCCCTTGTCTTCAATTAAACTCTTTTATTCCTTTTTTTTCTTTTTTTTCTTTCTTCTTTTTTTTGATTACAAATCGTAAATTATTTGAAAATGTGAATTAACTAATTATAAAAATTGTAAACATCACTTAATTCTAAATTAAAAGAGAAAAATTCAATAAACTAAAAATTAAAAGACAAAAAATGTAAAATGAGCTATTTTTATGATTTTCAAATTTCTATAAAACAAATAATTACTGATTAATTCTAAAAGTGTAAAAACAAATCCTAAATGCCATGCATGATATTTTAGGTTTTTTTATAATTTAAATAAAAATTAAATATGCACAGAAATGTAAATAATTAAGAAAATTCTACAAAAATTCCTAAAATGGAAAATAATTAACAGAAAATCTATTTCGTTGGGATTTTTATAGGAGTATTTCGTATAGGGCAAAAATCACATGCTCACAGAGTCTAGAAACCCTCGAGGATTACCGTCAAGCGCCATCTCCATCAACTTATCAAAACCCGAGGTCGTAAGGCCACATATGGGCAGCCTCGTCCTCATAAGACCTATAAAAGGCAACAACAATATCTGTAAGACCTCAAGCAAGGCATGAACCATACTTGTACCAAGTATCCAAAACTGTAAGACCTTAAAGGCATGAAAAAAGTGTAAGACCTTACTAAAGGCATCAACCCGATCTCAAAGTTTCGGCTATATATCGAACTTGTAAGACCCCTAAAAAGGCATACCCTCGATATAGATGCCGAAACTACTTCATTCGGGACTCAAAGGCTCCGGCCAAACACAAATGACTCCGGTCACATGGCTATACCAGCCGAACAAACGCGACCACCCGACCGTCGCTACAAAATCACAGGCCTTCAATTACTTCGAATCTACTTCGAAAAGAATCGGTTAAACAGGCTACCCTCGATACAGGCAAAAGAGCTTCCACCATGTCAGCTCCTAAACATCGACTTCGAGATACTCAACCTCCGATCCAAAACCTCACGAGGTGCTCGATCATTGCCATATAACAACTCACAATCGAGGTTTTTTATTAAGCCGTCGAAGAGTCAGGCAAACACTATTTATCCTTATCGAGTGAAAAACAAAGCCTACAAGGTCGCATCGACCAAATACGTAAGAGCCATTGTCACCAGCCTAATGAGCCTCAAGACCACAGACATAAAAGGTCGCTTCAACCCAAAGCGTAAGCGCCATTGTCGTTAGCTCACACAAAACTTGAGGGTCAAAATGAGCTTGAGTCGTAACCTGATTCGGAGATTGGACCCAAAATAGTTAACTAAAAATGCCTAAGAGCAAGGCGTAAGAGCCATCATCGCCAGCCCACATAAAAGGTTGCATCGATCCAAAGCGTAAGAGCCATTATCGCCAGCTTAATGAGCCTTAGGGCCACACACATAAAAGTCCACATCGGCCCAAGGCATAAAAGCCATTATCTCTAGCCCGCACAAGTACAAAACTTTAGGGTCAAAATGAGTTCGAGTTGTAACCTGATTCGGAGACTGGACCCAAAATAGTTAACAAAAAATGCCTAAGGGCAAGGCGTAAGAGCCACTATCGCCAGCCCACACAAATACAAAACTTGAGGGTCGAATAAGCTCGAGCCATAACCCGATTCGGAGACTGAACCCTAAACAGTTGACTAAATATGCCTAAGAGCAAGGCGTAGGAGCCGTTGTCGCCAACCTACATAAAAGATTGCATCAATCCGAAGTGAAGAGTCATTGTCGCCAGCTTAATAAGCCTTAGGTCCACACATATAAAAGGCCACATCGGCCCAAGGCGTAAGAGCCATTGTCGCCGACCCGCACAAGTACAAAACTTGAGGGTCGAATGAGCTCGAGTCGAAACCCGACTCGGAGACTGAACCCAAAATAGTTAATCAAATATTCCCAGGGACAAGGCATAATAGCCATTACTGCTAGCCCATACTAAAAGGTCGCTTCGACCCAACGCGTAAGAGCCTAAGGGCCAGATCGAAAATTTTAAAACTTGAATGTCAAATGAACCCGAGGCAAAATCTGACTCGGAGACTGAGCTCAAGCTATTGAAAACACCTGGGAGCAAAAGCATAAGAGCTCAAAATACCAGCTTACACCAAAAGGGAGTATCGACCCAATACATGCGAGTCACTGTCACCAGCACTATGATCAGAGGCCGTGCCGGCCAGATATATAAAAGCCAGGTCGACCGACAATAGCAAAGCCCGAGGGCCTAACCCCAGATCTGGGACCTTGGGTCAAAAGTCAATATACATCGCATAGTATTTCCGAAAAACTAAAGGTAAAGAAGGGATAGGAAACAAAAGCCTTCTTATGGCCCCCAAGGGGATGTTTACAAATCTTGAAAAAACTCTTACAAAGAGTGAAACGAACAGAATCCTAATCTATCATCGAGCCTACATCTTCGATATCTCCACCAAAAGTTGTTGCCCGACAACTACGGGTCCTTCAGCGGCCCCTCTCTGACAGCCTCTTCCCCTCCGAGGGCTCCGCCTTCATTTTTATCACCTACTAAGTCACTGCTCGGCACATCTACAAAAGCAAGCAAGGCGACATCTCCTTTCTCTAGGGTCTTCTCCCTCTCGAACTCGGCAAGCAAAATGGTATCTCCCACATGCATTCCCCCAAAGGTCTGTCTCCGAGATCCCAATCAAGCATGCTCCACTGCCCGAGTTAATCTCGGCTCAGCCCCCTCGAGCGCCCCAATGGCTTGAGCGCCTGTCGTGATAACATCCTCTCCATGTAAAGATATTAGTGCCTCGGCTTCAGTTTTGATCTCGGATAATGCTGCCACCAACTCAAACTGGAGACCTCTGTACTAGTTACTATCCTCCATCGCCTCACTAAGTTGACACCCAACTAAGGTCACCTTCCCCTAGAGGGCATCCCTATCAGAAGTTATATCTCTCTCTCTCTCTCCGTTTGAGCTCAGAGACCTCGGTATCTCTAGCCTGGAGCTCCTCCCTCAACAGGGCACTTTCCTTCTCAAACTGCACATATCAGATCCAAGACGTTAAACCACTAGGGTCTGGTAAAGCACTTAGATAATGACAAACGAGGACTAGATAACCTGTTCGGTGAGAAGATCTTTCTCATGCTCAAGACGGGTCACCTCAGCCTGATGCCAAGTGCAAGTGTGATTGTAAAGCGCCTTTGCGTGAAGCCATAAAAAAAAGAGAAAAAAGAAGAAAAGACAAGTTAGAAAGACAAAGATCAGGGAAATCGAAGCCTGAGTGACAGGCAGGGTTCGCAAAGATTACCTACTCGCAAAGCCTGTTCATCTCACCAAAGACGAGGGAAGCATCGGTCTCAAGAACTCCCTCAGGAATGACTGGCAGCCTTTTGAGTACATCCCCGCCTTTGATAGGCATCCATGCATTAGGAGATCCTTCGTGCGGGACATCTTGCACTCCCTTAGGAGGTGGGGTCGTACTCTGGGGGGAATCAATCACAACCACGACACTAGTAGGGTCAGTCAGCACCATCCCTTATCTATTTAGGGCCCCAGAACTAGGCCCCTCTAAACCATCTAACGAAGGCACCCTAGACCGAGGAGGACTCTGACCACTGACCTGCTCGGGGGTAGAACCAGATACACCCACAGTTGTATCTCCGCCATAAAATGAGACCGCAACGACATCAGACTCCGGCTCGGAAAGCACCATCTCCGCAATCCTAGGATCGGCCAGGTTTATTCCTCTCTCGGGCGCTATCGAGAAGCTATTTTACTCCTCACTCTCAACTCGAGGGATACCCGCCATTTTCAAGGTTAGAGCTGTTGGCTTGGACTTAGCTTCTTCCGCCTTAATCTTCTTAGATTCAGAAGGCTCGTCCAACAGGTTCCTTTGTCTCCTTTTCCCTTCATCGGGTACTGAATCATCCTCCCCGCCGAGTAATGCTCCCTTCATCAGGGGGACTTCCCCCAGACCTGCATAAATACAAGAGGTAATCATAGGGAACGAGAGATATTCCAGACGAGATTTAGGTCAAGAAGAATGACTACGACAGGGGTAGAGGCTCACTATGATCCTTAGCTTCCCACCGAGCCTGAGACAGATCACGCCACACTCACTCTACATACGGGCAAATCGAGTCTAGACGGCCGACCCAAGTCGGGAGGTCCGCGACCACTCCAAGATAAATTGTTGCAGCTGCATTAGTAAGAGAAATTAAGTGCCTGAGGGAGCGTACTCAAAACAATGGAAAGGATACTAAATAACATGTATACTTAAGTTCCACATTCCACCTCTGTGAAACGACATCCTTTCCGCCGGGATCAGGTCAGAAGTCTTTACTCGGACAAAGCGTCTTATCCATCCTCCATTTCCAAGCTCCTTGGTATTGGCGAAGAGGGCCCTTGAGGCTCGGCAGCGGAGTTTAATTAGACCCCCGTAGAAGAGACGGGGTTGTACATCCTGATCAGATGATCCAGGGTGAAAGGCATCCCCTCGATCATGCTCATGTAGTGTCCGGTCATATAAACAACACGCCAAAATGAAGGATGAATTTGGCCAAGGGTTACTTGATACCGCCGACAAAAGTTAAGAATCACGGGGTTGATCGGAGGCGAAGATGGCCCCACCAGCCCTAGGGTAAATGGGTAAGTATACATACTGAGAAAATAGACTTTATATATCGTAATATCCTCCTCCCAAGTAGGGATCTCCACAAGCACCGCGTCCCCCCAGCGACAATCGGCTCTCACTCTCCCGACGTCTGTTATCGAGCTAACATACTAAGTCACTGCGCCCCGACTTCGAAGAAGGCCTCTCGAACATGAAATCAGAAGCCATCGAGAAAAATCTTGGAACACATTCTTCA